ATATTTTTTATTATTTTTGAGAATGGAATTTGATTGGCTCAAGCCGGCTAAGCCGTTTAAAAATTTCTTAGCCGGCTAACATCACTAGTGCATACTGCGCCATGTTTTCTGAAATCCAGGGTTGCTAAGTAGCAAAGTCAAAAACTTGTAAACAATGATAAAAAATATGTCAAAATAATGGTTGAGATTTTTTGCATCATATTATTTAATATTTTGTGTAATATTTATCATGTGTGCTGGTAGAAAAAATTTGGAAGTTGGTCAATTGTAACCATTTTATAGTAATGACCCCCCACAATTTGTTAATTAATTTTCAGAATTTTATCTACTTCTATCACGTATCACGAATTAAAAAATAAATAAATGAATGAACGAAAAATAATTTTTTGTATATTTTTTTATGCAATTTGTTCATTACCTTTTTCTTTACCATATTTAAACAACATATCCCGCAGCTTCTCCACCTGGTTCTTCCAATAATCTTTATCCTTCACCAGTCTCGCCTCCTCCTCTTTCAATTCTTTTACCGACTCTTCCCACCTTTTTTTCTGTTCTTTGTCTTCCCCCATTCTTTGACATCCAACTTTCTCTTCAACTTCTGCAACCACTTCCCATCATCTTCTCCCTCTTCCCACTTCTCCAACTTCTCCACCGCCTTCTTGTACTCTTCTTCTGCCACTCCTTTATCTTTCCTAATCTCTTCGATCGTTGCCATTTTTTTTTAGAATTAAAAAAATTTAAAAATGAATTTTTAAAAAGAATTTTTTTTTTTATTGATTTAGATCGTAATTGTTACAATAAATAATTTGGACCAATGATAAATTAGTGGGCACATGACTTGCAATTAAAAAATTTTTTTACGGACAAATGAATTAAAAGACAAAAGAAAATTATTTATTATTTGAATTTTTTTACCCGAAAATTAAGTGAATTGGTGATGTTTTTATAATGTTCCAATACAAGGTGGGGATTATTTACCTTGTTGAATTGTGCAATAATGCAAACGTGTGTCACAATCTATCTATTATTGTATCCGTTGGGTTACCACACGCACGCAAATAAATATGTTGTCACGCACGTAAATAAATATGTAACGTTTAGACTACCACATGTAAATGATTTTTAAATTGTGTAATAGTGCAAATGTATATCACAATAAAATTTCCACAATAAAATTTCAAATATTACACGTTTGCATACTTTTCGTGACTTTTATCAATTACTAATAGATAGTTAGACAATTTATTTTCATGACCTTTACAGCTCGAGTCATCTAAACCTGACCATTATAAGTAAACTGGCAAAATTTCAAATTTTAGGAAATAAAATTTCTTAAATATGAAATAGGGGATGATCCTAAAGAAAAAAATTTTGGAAAAAGATCACCCTTAATAGTTAACAATCCATGAAAGAGGTGACAAATTTAGGGTAAACATTATTTAAAATATAGAAAGTTACTATTCAAACCACCATAACTTTTTAAGTAATAAATATTTTACATCAAACTTTTCATAGACAAAACTATGAAGGGGTTGAGTCCAAAAGTGCCCTGTGTGTCCATGTGATGGGCTTCAAAAATGCTGAATAAAATTGGTCGGTTTTTAGATGACTTGAGCTATACTAATATAGATAGATTTTAAAAATAACACGCAAGAAAATAAAATAATACTATGGATAGAAATTAAAGACTAGTGCCGTAAATTATGATGATGGTAGTAATTGTATTTATGGCATATAAAAGTGGTTGCAATTACCTTTGCGACCACTTTTGCAACCATACTTTTTCCTTTTTTGGATTACGACACTAGTCTTAATAGAAATAACACTATAAACAAGACTTCTGAAGAACATCGACAAAGACTTAATCGTGAACGACAACAGCATTATCGTAAAACAAAAGAAATATGGATTTTGAAGGCTCTACGGGACTCGACCACCCAGGAGAAAAGAAGGTTGTATATAGTAACACTATAGATGAGACTTCCGAAGAACGTCGACGAAGGCTTAATCGTGAACAACAACAGCGTTATTATAAAAACAAAAGAAATATGGATTCTGAAGGCTTTATGGATCTTGATCAATCAGGAGAATATGCAAAGTGAAGTTAGTAACACTATAGATGAGACTTCCGAAGAATGTCAACAAATACTTAATTGTGAACAACAACAGTGTTATCGTAAAAACAAAAGAAATATGGATTCTGAAGGCTCTACGGGACTTGACCAATTTTTAGATCCAAGTTTTAGCATTACCTCAGAAGATAACGTGACTACCCCCACTGAGCAAGAAGTAGTTATTCCTCTGACTACTGTTCCTCTAAAAACATTAAAAACACGTATTATCCATGGTCTTCACAAGGTTTAGACTGTCACTCTCTGGGAAGCATGAATCATAGATGTAATTGTTGTGGATAGATGAAAGAAAAACAGGCACATCTATGCGATCACCAGTTTTCACAACATGTTGTGTCAAAGGCAGGGTTTCTCTCCTTCTTATTAAGGAATTACCATATCCTCTCAACACTCTTCTTACTAGAACAGATCCAAGTGCACGTTTATTTAGGAAAAATATTAGGTTGTATAATTCAGCTTTGACTTTTACGTCTATGGGTGCAAAGGTTGATCATAGTATAACAGGAACAAGTGGCATTTACAGCTTTCGTGTTCATGGTGAAATGTATTATAGCGTAGACACAATACTTCCTGATAATGAAGTTCACCCTCAGTTTGCTCAAATATATGTGTATGATACTGAGCATGAATTGCAAAACAGAATGAATGTAATGCCTAATCTTGACCTTGGTATTCTTGAGGAACTTCAGCAAATGAAAGAGCAAAAAAACAAAAAAAATGTTTAATGTTAATAAGCCTTCAAATTCCAAAACAATAATAACAATTTGGAAAATTTCATAGACTTGATTGATGATGTTACAAGTATCAACACACTATGTTGTTGTACCATTTCTTATTAAACCTTCTAACCAAAACCTTATGATATCTGAAAACAATAATGAAGAAGATGAATATGAAGATAGCAATACTATTGAAGACGCTGGTACTGAGGCTAATGATTGTGATGATTAAAAAAAAAATTTTTTTTCACTAAATTGATTAGTATAACATAAATTGGTCTCTGTGTTTTTTTTACATATATAGTATATATATACATATACATATACATATATGGTATAATATATTGCGTTAGATTCTTATTATATTATTATACTATCATCATTGATTTTATTATTGATTATATAAATATTTGCAATAAAAACTTTGAATTCAATAAATTGAAAAAACTTTATAAATCATCTATTTATTTGATAAATATTGAAAAAAAACTCATCTTTATATTATTACAAATAATTAAAATATCCAAAAGATCAATCAATTCTGTCTACCATTATAAAATTTCAGCCTAAACCAAACAAATAATTCTTAAATAAATATTAACAATTTATTAAAATATGTATCTTAAAAAACTTGTTATCCATTTATTTGTTTGTTGTTCTTGATAATAGTATTATAAAATTTATTTTTTTAAAAAAATTAAATTATAAGTCTTTATCTTCTGTTGTTTCATTAGATGATTTTATTGGAACAGCACCTAACATTGTAACAGGTATATTAGGTATTTGTGGAAGTAGTGATGCAGCAGTTTTACGTGATTGTTGAATCATTAGTGCACTGAATGAAGATATTTGAAAATAATTTATATTAAATATAAATATAAATATAAATATAAATTAATTCAAATTTTTTTCATTAACTTACTCCATAACAACTAAAGCAGCCATTGCCTCAACAATTGGGACAGCACGTGGTACAACGCAAGGATCATGACGACCTCTTGCAGCAAGAATTCCATCAACACCATCATATGTAGCAGTTTTTTGTTCTTGAGAAATGGTTGCTGGTGGTTTAAATGCAACTCTAAAATAAATATTTTCACCATTTGTGATTCCTCCCTATTATCATTAACATTTTTTAATCTGGTGGTAACAAACATCAAATTATTCTAATCATAATCTTTTGAATGATAATGAAAAAGTTATTTACTTGAATTCCACCAGAATGATTAGTTTTAGTTCCAAATACATTATTCTCTTTTTTAATCCAAGGGTCATTATGTTGATGACCATACAAAGTTGTACCTTGGAAGCCACTTCCAATCTCAAATCCTTTAGTAGAGGGGATTGAAAGCATTGCATGTGCTAATTTAGCTTCTAATTTATCAAAACATGGTTCACCCAATCCTGATGGCACATTACGAATAACACATGTTACAGTTCCACCAACAGAATCATTAGATTCTTTTGCTTTAATTATACACTAAAATAAATAAATTTTTTGGAATTTATTATATTGTTGAGTTTATGAAGCATAAATATTTATTAAATTTTATTTTTAAACCTGAGTCATTCTTTCTGAAATTTCCTTATCAGGACATCGAACCACATTTTTATCAACATCATCTCTAGAAATGCTGTTTAACATATCCCAAAAATCTTGTGAATATAATTGATCATCATCATTATGATAGTCTATTTCTTTGATAAAAGGCATTTTTATATTTGAGACTGAAGAAACAAATGCTACAATATCTATATTATAAACCATTTTAAGATATTTCTCTGCAATAGCTCCTGCTGCCACTCTTCCTAATCAACAGTTAATTATTAAACTTATTAAATTGATTTTTATTAATTTATCTATTTGTTATGTCTTTTTACCTATTGTTTCTCTTGCTGATGCTCTACCACCACCACTACTAGCCTTTACACCATATTTTTGTAAGTAGGTCCAATCAGCATGACTTGGCCTTGGATATAAATCAGTTTCTGAATAATCATGAGGCCGTTGATCTTGATTTGGTACCAGTAAACCAATTGGTGTTCCAAGTGTTATACCAAATTCAGTTCCTGATTGTATAACAACCAAATCTTTTTCATCTCGCTACACACACACATACACACACACAAAGGTATATAAATTTAATAACTTTTAAAATCAATGAAAATTTTTTAAAAGTAATTTTTTTTTTAATTCTTACAGGTGTCGTCAAATTACTCTGACCTGGCCTTCTTCTACTCAATTGTTTTTGAATATCAGCTTCTATAAGAGGTAAACCAGGAGGACAACCATCCACTATACAACCAACAGACTTCCCGTGAGATTCACCATAGGTTGTCACGCGAAAAATATTGCCAAAAGTACTCATACTTTTTAATTATTAAAAGATTAAAAGATCTATTAATTTGTGTGTGGCTTACTAATAATATATGAATCACGATAATCATTTGAGGCGTTTAAGGGTAGAATGTAGTCATGTGATTTATATAATGATCAGCTACGTAGCTAAGCAATTATTAAATGCCAAATTATTTTTAATTCTTTGCTCATGAGCTCTCAAGGTAAGTGGTATTAGTTTTATTCGTATGTAAATTTAGAGCGTTAAAAAACATTCTAATTTAAAAATAGAATTTTTGAAAACAACTAGATGAGTTGAGGGAAATCAATAACAAGATACCAATATATCTCCATCTACTCTACATATACCATTTGTTCTACCTGTTCTTCGTAGAAGTTATATCAACTTTCTTTTTACTTTAACAAAAATGTGGGAGCTTCCTGTAATTTTTACTTGAAGATAATTAATATAATTAATACATTACAATCAAACCTCGCCGCAACGAATTCATGGTCAAAAAAATCTGTTATGACAAGAAATCCGTTGTGGCAAAGTGATGATCGGCAAAAATTTTTTATACATGCGAAAATTAAAATTATTTGTTGTAACATTTGGTTGTATTAGTTTTTCATTAACTAATAATTTCACTTTTCTTTTCAATAATGATAAATAATCTATCAATTTTTTGTTTACTGATTTATTTTAGAAACTTGGAAAAGGTTGTTACTAGCAATTGGACAACTATCAATTGTTTGTATTGATTTATTTTAGAAAATTTGTTACTTGTAAATCTTTGGGGTAAAATTGTTTGTTTATTGTTTATTTTAATACTGATCTTTGATTAAAATAATCAAATAGACATATCCATCTAAATAATTATACGAAAGATAGGATTCCAAAGGCAAAAAAATTTCCACTTAGCACCAAAACATATGAAATTCTGACACCATTCCTCCCGTTTGTCAGGTAATGGAAATCAGGATCAACTTTGATGAATGTAAAGTTCATTCAATATTTTATTATTGACATGCAATATGATGCAATATGACAATCACTAATTAATTAAAGGATTAATTTCCTTTAAAAAAATTAATGACAAGGAATTCCTTTTTTAAAAATTACAAACTACAGTCGAAAGGTGGTCAGTGGTCCCTTAGATCCCGTTGTAACGAGGGTTTGACTGTACACTAAATTTTGAACCCTGTAATCCCATGTAACACGATTACAATTTTGTATACTCCATATTAATTATATTAATTTTAATATCTTGTAAGAAAAATGTGTTGTTATAATAATATAAAATAGGAAGGAAGAAAAAATAAAAATACTTAATTAGTAATGTTCATTTGTTAACGATGTCAAATATTAAAATCATACGTGTAACGTTATATCAATGACTGAATTTTTTAAAAATAATGATGGGAAAAAATAAAAGTTCGGTTAAAAAAGTAGGAATTGTTGCTGAAAAAATTTCTACTGCAACAGGAGGAATTGGAGAAATTGTTAAAAATAAAGATAATATTTCAAATCTCACGAATGATCATTTCAAATTAGTTATTGGAACTGTTGGTGCTATCGGCGAAGGTAATAAATATAACCTTTATTTTAAAAGATCATAATAATCTAATAATCTAATAATCTAATAATCTAATTATTATATTATATTATATTATATATTATACAAATAGCCGCCATGCCATATTTGCCATTGATTTCATCAGTATTAACCTTGACAGCAAAAATTGTCAAGGCTTATGATAATGCTCAATATAATAAAAAAAGTTGTGCAGCATTGATTCAACGAGTGCAATCAGCCGAAGTTGCAGTTAAAGTATTGGATAGACGCAAACAAGAAAATCAGGAAAATTTTCATCAACAAACTTATTATATAAACTTTGAAAGATTTATCACTATTTTAGGAGACATTGAAGCTTTTATGACAGATTTCACACGTTTATCACAATACAAAAAATTTATTTCTAATAATGTTATTAAAGAAAGATTTATTGGATTGATTAATGATTTTGATAGAGTAGTTCATGATTTAGGATTTACAATGATCATTGCAAGTGATGAAGATAGGAAAAAAGAGATTGAAGTTTTAAATAATGATATTGCTGAAATGTCAAAGGTATGAGAGATTTGGTATTATTATTGATATTATTCATTATCAATTAAAAATATATATGTTTATAATTTACATATTCCTCTTTTTTCAATAATAATAGTTCTTGCAAACAATTGAAGCTGGTGTTACAACAATCGATAAAAAAATCAGTCACGTGTTAGAACATGTATTAATATTACAAGATAAAAAAAAAGATAAAGATTTTTCACCTCCAATTAAAAAAATACCACCCAATGAAATAAAAATCGAAAGTTCTACTCACGATAAAAAATTACTTAAAGCAAGATATTTAGGATGTAATGTTGCATGTGATACCATTATCTTACCTGATGATGACAAACCTGGTTCACACAGGATTAATGCTCAATTAGCCATTTTAAGAAATTTAGCAAGTTGTGAATTTATTATAAATTTTCATGGACTAACTAAGATTAATGGAATTGATCGTATGGTGGTTGGATGGGCTGAGTTTAGTAATTTGAAAGAATTTTATGAAAAAAATCACATTAAGTGGCCTTTAAAAATTAGAATTGCCACAAATATTTGTCGTGGAATTATATTCTTAAATGGTTGTGATATATTTCATCATGATATTAGATGTGAAAATATTTTGGCAAGTTTTTAATTATCAGATATTAGATATTTGTTGCCTTTACACTAAATAACTATCTTTTTTTATAGATTACAGAAAATTATGAACCAAAAATTACAAATTTCAGTTATAGTAGGGATCTTAAAGACAATACAATTAAAATTGAAAACCAGAAAAAAATTATTCGTTGGTTAGCTCCTGAAAAAATGCAACCATCTAAATATGCACCATATACTATTCAATGTGAAATATTTAGGTATATTTTATTGACATTGATCTCGAATATTGATATTACTGTTGAATATGATATTGATAATTAAATAAAAAGTAAAATTATCATTTTAGCTTTGGGATGCTTTTATGGGAATTGGCATTTCAACAATTACCTTACAAAAATATGGAATTTTCACAGATACAAAGTCATGTTTTAAGTGGTAAAAGAGAACATTTAGATTTTACACTTGATTTGCCAGAAAAAGAATTTGGAAAAATTGTTAATTCTGGTAAAATGATTTTATTTTAATAAATAAATACATCACATGTTAAATTTTTTTTTTAAATTAATATTTTGTATTTTCTTAAATTTTTTAGCTTGGCAGCATGATCCAACTTTGAGGCCAGAATTAAATTATTTATTTAATGATTTAGAAAAAATTTGTACAAAATTTGCTAATGTTTCAGGAATATCATCATCTATGGTTCTTGCCAAAAACATTAATGTCCTTAATAACAATAAGTATAATAGTAATGATAATGGTATCTCAACTTCTGTGATAACAACAAACACTGCTACCGCATCAGTAGCCCTTAATGGTTTTGCTACAACAAGCACGCCAAGTAATTGCATTAATAATAATAATAATTATGATGATAATCATGGTAAAGATTTTAATAATCACAACAATAACAGTCATAATAATAACAACAGTAATGATTATAATGATGATTACAATAATAATAATGCTTGTAATACCCATAATGATGAATCTGAAAGAAAAGGATTCTACACTATAGATTCAGATAATATTAGCCCTATATTAAGATTGGAAGATGGTCTTGCGTTAGATAAACAGGGTCAAAAAGAAAAGGCGTATGAATGTTTCAAAGCTCATGCAGATATAGGCAATAAAATGGCAAAATTTTGGTTAGGGAATTATTATTGGCGTGGTATTGTTGTAAAAAAAGATTTAGATAAAGCTGCTGAATTATTTAAAGAGGCCGCTGATAAAGGTGTAGCAAGAGCACAATTATGTTATACTAAAATTTTATGTGATGAAGATGGGCCATCATTTGATCTAGAAGAATTCATGAAATATTTAAGAATGGCGGCCGATAATGGTAACGAAGTTGCACAATTCAATCTGGGCGATTTGTATTATAATGGTAAATTAGGTGTGAAAATTGATGAAAAACGCGGTTTAGAATATTTAAAGCTGGCTGCTTTAAAAGATCAACCTAAAGCTATCGAGTTATTGGAAAAATTAAATATCAGCAATATTTATCAATTAGAAGATTAATTTAATTCATATCTTATTTATTATATTCTGTGTGTGTGTGTATATATATATTTACATAATTGTAATTTTATTACTAATACAGTCATGGTCAACGTGATAAGTATTTCTGACAAACCATTAAACGATTAATTTTTATATGCCGCAATTAATCGAGCAGCCATCTTTACAAACGATTGGATTGTTTAACATTTTGATATAATAAATTATTTATTTTGTTGTAGTTAATGGTGTTGGAGTTGCTAACATCCACCGGTAGAAAATGGATATTTCTATGTTTAAATTATATGCTTATGTATCTAATTCTATTGGTTTAAAATTACGGTGAATCTCGAATATTTCTTAATATTGTAAAATTTTAGGGTAATAGTAACATATCTATTACTATGACGAGATCGCCCCGCGGCTCATAATAATAATGGAAGTGCTGCGTATCCAGGAACCAGAAATAAATCATTATTATGACGTCTACTATTGTATCAACGCCAGGAAAAGTACTTGTCGCAGGTGGATATTTGATTCTAGATAGAAACTATGATGGTCTAGTTGTTGCGGTTGATTCAAGATTTTATACAGTGATTAAAAAAATTGAAGCAGAAAATACTTTTTGCAATAGTAATAATGACAATAGTTGGAAAATTAATGTCATTTCACCTCAATTCAATAATACCAAGTGGGAATATAAAGTAATAATTAATGATTATAACAATAAAGAAGATATCAGACAATGTGAATTGATGACATTGAACTCAAAGTATGCAAATAAATAAATTATCATAGCAAATTATTTAAATGAATTATATAGTAAATTTTAAATTTAAATAAATTTATTTTTAGTGAGAGCGGAAATAACACATTTATTGATGTGACACTCAAATTTGCTTTGTCAATTATTATTCAGAGAATTGATTATTCATCATTCTCAAAGATATTAGAAAAAGGATTAAATATATTTATAGTTGGAAGCAATGATTTCTATTCACAACGAGAACAAGTAGGTAATTTTTTATCTTTAATTATTAATGATATCAATGATTATGAATTAATAGTTGATCCTCTTTTTATGGATACGTACGTGTACAAGTTGAAAAATCAAGGACTTGAAATTAGTTTGGCATCATTACGATCACTCAAACCATTTTGTAAATTAAACAAAACCTTGAAAAATGTTCATAAAACAGGTTTAGGATCTTCGGCAGCATTGATAACATCATTTGTTACAGCTTTATTCGTTCATTTTAATTTAATCAATAACAAAGAAGACGTAGATGATAATTATTCCAGAACATTAATTCATAACGTTGCACAGTTTTGTCATTGTTTTGCTCAAGGTAAAATAGGATCAGGATTTGATGTATCAGCTGGTGTATGGGGAAGTCATACTTACAAGAGATTTTCTACTAGTATACTAGAAAATGTTTTAAATGTGGTATAAACATTTCTAATATATATATATATATATAATATAAAAGGAGAAAAAAAATTTTTTTTGTTAAAATATATTCTGATAATTTTTATTATTATTCAGCCAAATATTACAGAGATTAACACAATTATCGATCCTATGTTAAATAAGTGAGTGAATCTGGTAAATTTATTATTATAATTGTTATTGTTATCATTATATTAATGTTAAAGTTATATTTAGATGGGATAATCAAGTTTCGCCATTTTCTTTACCACCAGGATTTAATTTAATTCTTGCAGACATTGATACAGGATCGAATACTCCCAGTATGGTTTCAAAAGTATTACAATGGCGTAAAAATGATCCTGAGCAAGGTTTTTTTTAGGATTTTTTGATTTTTTTTCTCAAATGAGCAGACAAATAAAAAAATTTTTTAATTTTTTTTTTTAGCAAATAAATTATGGGAAGAATTGAATAAATACAACAAATTTCTTGCCGATAATTTAACAAAATTGACAAAAGAATATGATAATGATCAAAAATTATATTGTAATACTATTGAAATCTGTTCTAATTCTAAGGCATCTGAGGTTTGTAATAATAATAATAACTCTTGGAGAGAAAAGAAGAAAGTATTTAAAGAAGAGAATATCAATTAACATGACTTTTTTAATAATTCTAGTGGTTATCAATATCAGAAAAAAATCCAAATGAATCTTACATTATAAGATTATTATCATTGATATATACAACATTCCAAGTAATTTATAAAAATACATATTATTATTGTTTTTTTTTCTAGGATTATGAATCTAATCATATTATTATTTCATTTTAAAGAATATACGAAAATTATTACGAGAAATGTCAAAACTGTCAAAAGTACCAATTGAACCACCTGAACAAACTAAATTATTAGATTTATGTAATGAAATACCTGGTGTGGTATTAAGTGGTGTTCCTGGTGGTAAGTTACAAATTTAATAATAATAGTTAATTAATCGAAAATAAATAAATTAATTAATTAATGATTTTTTATATTGTCATTGTCATTATTAGCGGGAGGATATGATGCAATATTTTGTATTTATATTACCCCAATTTCTTCTTCTACTACGACTGCGTTTCATTCAATTAAAGGAGATGGCTGCCTAAATAAATTAGAGCAACTATTTTATAATTATAAAGGCTTGGATGTATTACCACTTTTATCTAAAGAATCATCAAAGGGTTTTTTAATTCATAAAAATATTGATGATGTTTATGGTTTAAATGAATGTATTAATTAATTAATAAACAGTTTGATATTTATCAATTACTTTAATTTTGAGCACAAGTTTTCCCCCAAAGTTTAGTTCATGTAATTATTAAACCAATATGGCCCCAAAAATCCATCACATGTTTTTTACTGATGGAACAATCAAGATCATCATCACTTACTGGGGTGAACAAAACGATCTTACGCAGCCATCATCTATCTTTCCTACTAATCGCCTTGGAATCTTTGTAATGCTCTTTCCTCTATATTGTCATTAAACATTAAGCATTAAGTGGGAAGCAATTATAAATTGTTTAACTTTTACTTACCCAACGAAAAAAAATGATAAGGAACATACACGATATCGATAGTATGCCATATATTGATTCTATACCAACTCTCTACCATGATTTGGAACAGAAGATTTGTGTTATATTTGAAATGAAGTTCCGGATCATAATCTTTACCTAATATAGGGTCTGATGTGCAATGACCCGTATATTTCTTTCGAAATAAAAATGCCTCTTCTTTTTTAAAATTAAAACTATCCTTGTATTGTTGTATTTTATATAATCAAATTGTCTTTAATACATATGGATTGTGTTAAATTGATGCATTTTTGACTTTTGAAGTTAGTCAACTACGTGTAATAGTAATAATAATATGCTTGAGCTGTCTTTAGTGTCTGAATTTGAAGCAACATAGGTTGATCAATATTGGTACTTAGAACGAGCTTTACATACCACACATATGACAGGTTTTGGTACATGTTCTTGCCACTTTTAAATCTTCAAATAATGCTGAAATTATTTTATTGTTGAATCACGATAATTCGATCACTGGAGTTGGTGATGATGAAGTTGTTCTTTCGCTTTTCAATTAATCTTGTTAGAGAAAAACTTAAAGTAAAAATGTTGTACGAAAAAATTGTCATTCAGTTCTCCGCAAAGAAAAACAAGTTTTTAAACGAAAACGTAACAGCGAGTTTCGTGAAATACAGATAGTATTATATAATTTTTTTGGTGTCATATATTATAAAATCACATGGCTCAATCGCTTGCGTATATATTTGTTCGGAGCATCAAAATTAACACTATCTTAGCATCCCACCATGTATTCATGATCAATGATACAATCTTCAATAAAAATAGACTATTCCATGGCATTGATTGAGGAGGCTAATGAATCACAACCAAAAACATACAAATATACCGCTACATCCACTCGTGAACCAAAAAAACGGTGCATTGGTTTTGCTTTTCATGGTATTCGAATTCGAGGGTCGAGTTGAAATGGAGTTCTATGTATAATTTGGCTTTACATGTTAAATTCAAATACGAGGTATCTATATATTTGTTTGGAGCATCAACATTAGCCAGCCATATTATCAATATTTTTGTTTTATTCATTCATTGTATTAGCAAAAAACCTATTTATTTAAAAAAATTACATATACAAAAGGAATGTTCACGAATTTAATAAATTTAATAAAAGATCCTTTGCAAATAAGAACCCTCATGTGATCAAAAGTTATTTACAAATTTCGATTGTTAAAAAAAAAAATCAACTACTCAGGTTTTTTTTGTTAACTAAAAAAAAAGATCTTTTTGTCCTGATTAAAGGTCAATGGGTCAATTGGATTCCCTCCAAATATATCGCTAAGCTTCATGCAAACATCAAAAGTTGCAAAGATTAATCAATTAATTTTATTTATTTTCTCCGAAAGGAAAATGTTTCCTCTCTCAAATGGTCAAAATCAAATAAAAAATTTTTTTTGGTTCAACACTAACAATTAAAAAAAATCTGTACATATTGTTTGTTTATCGACCATTGAATTGACTGATAATAACAATAGCAATAAAGTAAATGTAAAAAAGTGTTTTTGAATCCCAGTCTCGTGACCCAAAAATATACTAATTACACGTTGTGTGTCAAGTCGGAATCTGAGGTAAAGGCTCCAAGTCAAGGCCATGAGTTTTGGTCATTTTGAACGGTCCGAAATATCAGAGCAAGACAAAAACTTAACGGTAGTCAACGATAGACACCGCGCAAAAAAACATCTAAAGCAAAACACGATTTCCTTTCTGCTTCATTCAATACTGATGTTTTGAACAAAAATAGATAGCAATGAGAATTCGCATGATACGACGACGTAAAATAACCACAAACATTCATCATTTTTGAAAACAAAAATGTTTAACAATCAATTTGCAAGCCAGCGCAGCAAAAAAAAAGAAAAAACGGCTTGATCTCATCCTTCCTCAACAATTCAGTTTAGTAAAATATTTGGAAAATTCGTAACTGCACCGAATTTACCATTTCAAGTCTTAATATTAATAAGTCTTTACAACAGAATATTTCCCGTGCATTCAAATTTGGGGAAGGGAAAAATATTACACAAAATATAAAAATTTACACAAAATTACAACATTTAGAAAGGAACCGTAACACGTCAACCTTTCTTTATTCTTTCCACTCTAAAAAACACCAAGTCAAATTTTATATTTTGTATTTTTATAAAATGTCATTTGTTAAACTATTATCGTTATCACCAGAAAGAAAGAAATTTCTATATAAAATTTATAATGAAATGTATAATAATGCTCTGGTTAATCCTGATAGAGAAGGTAGAAAAGATTATTTTTTTTCATTAGTCAAAAAAAACAAGGAGCTTTCTGAAAATGAAAAAGAATATTGCAAGGAAAGATTTATTTATAACTTTGAATTAAATAATGCAGCATATAAATTGGGCAAACCAAAAGAATGTAACAAGTGTGAATTGACAAGATATTCTGATAGATTCTGTGAAAGTTGTATTGGTTTACAATTACAGAGTCTTTTCACCACTTGGACATCTGGAAATAACATAATTGATGATTTTATTCAACAATGTCAAATGAAATCATCTCTGCCAACTTATATTTTAGAATGGATACCTTTTGAGCAATTTGAAAAAGTAACAAAGTTGACTGAAGGTGGATTTAGTTCAATTTATACTGCTGCATGGACAAGAGGACGAATAATTGATTATGATGAAAATAAAAAGGAATTTAGTTATTTAGAAAGGCAAGTAGTAGTATTAAAAAGTTTAAATAATTCAAGTAATCCAGGAAAAAGCTTTTTTGATGAGGTTGGTAGTTGTTGTTTATAAAAATAATGTATTATATAATACTAATTGATTTTACATTTATTTTCAAGCAATGAATTATTGTAAAATTAAAGCACCACTGATTGTTGAGTGCTATGGTATAACTAAATTCCCAGATAATGGGAATTATGCAATTGTTTCAAATTATCTATCAGAAGGAAATTTAAGGGGTTATTTACAAAAAAATCATTTAAATTTAACATTAAAAGACAGAATTACAATCCTTAGATATTTATGTTATGCATTAGATGATATACATAAAAAAGATTTAATCCATTGTGATTTACATATTGGTAATATACTTGTGAAAGGAGGTAATTGTTATATTACAGATTTGGGGTTATGTGGACCAGTTGATGAAAAGTCATTAAATAAAGTCTATGGAATTGTATCATATGTTGCACCCGAGCTACTTGGAGGCAAAAAGAACACCAAAGAATCAGATATCTATAGTGTTGGGATGTTAATGTGGGAAATATTTGCAGGTTGTCCACCATTTGATAATAGAACTCACAATCATTGTTTGATTTTTGATATATGTGAAGGTTTACGACCACCAATATTATCTGAAATGCCTGATGATTATGTGCAAATGATGCAGAGATGTTGGGATGTGGATCCATCAAAAAGACCAACTAGTAGAGAGCTTTATGATTTTGCTGAAAACAAACTTGAAGAAATTATTAAAAATAATAATGGTAATCATACTACTAGTAGTGGTAGTAGTGCTTTGCAACAAGCACACAAATCACATCCAAATGCATATCATACAAGTAGAATATTAGATGAAGAGATTGCTAAATCTAAAAGCTTAAAAAGTAATGATAGTTTGTTAAATGATCTTGGTTTTAACCCTTTTCTCTAGAATGTTAACAAAAGGTGAATAAAATTTTTCATTATTAATCAATTGGAAATTACTATCTATTAATTGTTATTAACAATATTAATTAATGAATTAAATTTTAGTAACAATAGTAAAAGAAGAATTGATGAATTTAATCTCTACTATAAATTTATTCATTATAATTATTTATCTTTTTATTTTATCTTTATTTTATTTCTTAAAGCTAAATTATAATAATAAACTTTTTACAGTTTTTTTGATTCTTGTTAAATAGTGATATTGCAAGGTATCATTCCGGTTAATTAACAATCATGGCTTAACTTTTGGGCTACTCTTGTCAGTTAATTGCAATAATCCGGTGCTTATCAATTAAAATTAGCTTACAAATTTACTTTGGTTCCCTCTTTCTTTCATCCAGATGGATCTGTGAACATACTAGATAAAAGATGGCCCTTTTGCAATGCCATAAAGTTCCTTTTATTCACTTGTGATTGATTTATTTCAGTTGTTTACATTTATTGGCCGATTGCAAACTCGCTTTGGTTTACTTGCAAAGTAGCTTACTCAATAACCATTTACAATCACAATAATATTACCAGTATTCCAGATTAACCTTTGGACGATGCTTCATTTAACCAACGTTAATTAGTCCAAACCTTTGCTTACTCAGTAAAAACAAATTACGTACTAATCGTTGTTAACACTCACTAGTTAACCAACGTTAGTTCTAATCTTGCTTGTTTGCTCACTAAAGCAAATAAACGTGGATTTTTATCAAGGCACTAACTACACTTGTTGCTTTCATCAAACAAAGGAAATAAAGAAATGTTTTTATTTTTAAAAGTTAACAATTAATTTAATAAAAATCTTTATTATTTCCTCTGAGGAACCAAAGTCATGCTTTTTCAAACAAATACCAGAAGTTATCCTTAATAAAAATTTTCGTTGATCACTACAATAAGGTTAAGATAAAGATGGGATTATTATTGCAAAGTAACTTAATCAATCAAATATTGATATTATAAAACCTTCCATAATAAAAAGCCTTTGCATCATAATTTTAGCGTATAATTATGAAAATTAGTTGGCCCTGGAACATAAAGTACCGAATCCCAGTCGATGATTTTACCTGCCCGATCATGTATCACGTTATTAATACTAATTAATATAAGAAAGAAATGTTCGAGTTTAGTAGTAAATGAACTGAATTTGTATTCAGCAAAAGGAAAGCTTGGCTCCTTGGGAACAACTGATGAAACAAAGAGAGATTGGGATACTCAAAGAAAAATATAAGAAAAAGACCTTGGAATATACATTTATAAGTTTTTTTATGTTTTATTATTAGTCTTTAAAGTAATTTTACTTGCGTCATTTTTGACTTAATGGCAGTGAATTTGTCAAACAACATTGCCTTTAAATTGTTTATCCTCCTTTTCTTATTCACTTTAATTCTTCATTCTTGCCTCCTAGTTCTTTATCTTTGCCTTTTACTTCTTTGGTTGCCTTCAATTAGTCCTAAATTTCATATTCTATATTCATATTTTCTGATCCAATTGGCAGTTTTAAGCTTCTGAAAATGAAATTAAACTATTGTAAATGTGATTTTATATTCAGAAAGTATTTATTAAAATTAAACGATTGCCAATTTTTAAACACAGATCAAAGTTGGGGAAATAAAATTTATTTTGCTGATAGTAACGGACATTTTATCAATAGCTTACTGCGTATTAAAGAAAATGTAATTTATTAAATTTGGAAATTATGAAAAATCGAATTCTCCAGATTTGGTTTTGCTGGAAACTATTCCAATATTAAAAGTTATATAATTAAAAAAAAAAAAATAAGTGTAAAATTTCAGACACAAGCATAACTTCTTGTGGGTCCAACGACAATGTATTATCACTCTTAATATATATCTCGTCAATTATTGGGAATTTTACTAGAAAAATATGAACCAACTTTTAGAAATCTTACTGCAAGATTACACAAATCCAAAAGAATAGTCTTGTTTAGGAATATTAATGAATAAGATTGCCCTCTTTTAAAGTAGAGAAACCCAATATAATGGTTGGTGACATTAGAAATTTTGATGATTTTGCAGATAAATGCTCGCTTTAGAGCTCAAACAGAATGTTATTTGAGGAGAATTTTCTTGCCAACAACCCCTCATGGACAATTAATTGAAGCAGAGAAAATACACAAATTTTTTACCATGGTTTTTGAATGATTTTATTCAATGAAAGATTTCAATAATAATTCTCCTCTTCTCTAACAACATATATGTAAAAAGCCCAACATAAGATAATGTCTATCCATCTCCAAAAATAATCATCACATTCCAAATAACCATAATGACAAAGTAAAAGATGTGTATACACTGCAATAATTATTGATGTAGATAATGACGTTATTATCTCATAAAGCCTTTTCCCCTAAATAATTGTCAAATTGATTGATTAATTAATAAATATATATATATATCATATCATGAATATTTAATTGTTACCAAATGTTCTTCTTCGATATCAAATTCATCATTTTTTTCTTGCATTTGAACAGAATATAATAACTTTGAAATTATCACAGTTCGATAAATTAATGATACAAACATGTTTAATGAAAATGCCTTTTCAATTACTGAAACATATTTAAAATTAAAAATAAGTTCTGAAAATTTTTTCAATAATATGTGAAAATTTAAACTGTTGAAAAAAAAATCCAAAAAGCAAAATTAATTGATCAATCATCTTATGACTCTCTTTTTAAAAAAAAACAATAACAATAATATTATTAACTTACTTGTAAAATAGATTAATAAAGTCCATCAAATCAAAATCAAGGTATATTAAAAGCGGAAGTGGTTTTAGATCCTCGAATATTGGCATTGTTGAATCTGTTCGATATCCTCCTTTTAATTTTGTACCATCATCCTTCCAGTTAAGTGATAGCATGTATATACAATAAATAGTATAAGCAAACTATAATAGAAAAAAAAAAATCTTAAAGAATAATTCATAATTCGCATTTATAGTATATTAAAAAAAAAAATAGATTGCTTGTCTTACCAAAAGTGAAATATCAACGATACTTCCTTTATTGAAAATCAAACAAACGATTGAAATTGTAATGGCTAAAGTCAAAACAGAACCAATAAGAGTTGCAGATAATATATCCATTCCTGAACCATCATATATATAATATAGAAAATAAATTGATATTATGTTGGTAATTATCGATATTATCAAAAAATAAATCTAAATAAATATAAATATTCAAAATTATAAATTATTCAAAAGATTATATAGTAATTATTAAATTTTCAAAGGAAAAATATCAACACCTTATTATGTATCAAATCTTCATCCTCGAGCGTTTCTTTGACATAACGTCTAATTTCTAAAATAAGCATGGAAGTAGCAATTGCTTCTACCAATGTAAAAATCGGTGCAGAACATGACAATAAACCTTGATAAACATTTAAAACAAGTGGTAATTTAAATTTAGGTCCATTGTATTGACTATTTTGTTGTTCTTCTATTAAGATGTAAGTTAATCTCACTGAATGTATCATAAAGAAAGGAATCAAAACTGGTTGAGCCCAGATTAGGATTTGTGTCTAAATATAATAGTCAACAATAAAAAAGATTATATATAATCATTAAATACATTACTAGTTTATTCATTTCTATATCTTAATTAGTAAATAAATTCGTTCAATAATATATAGGTCCAACAAAGTAATAGTCCAAGAAAATTATAATTCAATCAACTCGTTCTCCCTTTCCTTGCTCTAACCGTCTACCTACTATTATTACATGCTATTAAACAATATTATTATTATGTAATAAAAATTTATTATTACATACCATAGCCCAGCCGAAACCATGTTTTTTCTGCCACATAATTTTAGCAAATCCCAAAACAATGTAATATAGAAATAATGCAAAGGACAATGCTAAACCAGTTGCTGGGCCACCAAGATCAAAGGATAAAGGTAAAAGTAATAAAAATAGTAAATGATTTGCATTGTTAAACATAGACAAGAAACTCATTTCTTTAATATTATATTTTAAAAAGAAACGAAGCAAAATATTTTACATAATAATAATAAATAACACGTATTGTTCCAAAAAACTACGATTTCATTGGCTGAACTTTGTGTAGATCAGTATTAGATTGTTTAAGAATAAAAATTTCATCGAATCAATTAATGCTCTATAACATCTACTTCTTCCATATCAATGTCAACTGCAGATGACATTTCACTTCCAACATCCTCTGAAATAATAGATCCAATTTCAGACCACGCATCTTCTGATGGATTGGGTGATAAAAAACGAGAATTGTCTGGAAGATCAAGAATTTGTCTTTGTAATAAATGTTGTTGATTTTGTTGCTGTTGCCGAATGATTTCGTCGTTTATGGTAGAAGAATTTGATCTTATATTATTATTATTATTATTATTATTAACACCGTCATCATCATCATCATCACTATTATACGCACTATCAACAGATGATTGCAGGTGATGACTACTAATACTTGATAAACCTTGCGAGAGAATTGATTGTACAGCTGTGTCAGGATAAAGGCTACTTTCATTATATAAAGAATGTTGTTCAACATCTTTTAATGGAATTTCATCATTGCTGTCATTGTCTAAAATAGTGTTAGTAGCAGAAGTGTTCTTTGTGTTTTTAGATAAATCAGAATCAGAGCTGGATTTTGAACTGATGGATTTTAAGCGTTGCTTCCTATTTTCAAGTTCTTGTTCTCTCTCTTTCAAAATTCGCTCCTCATTTTCTATTTCTTTACTTTTACGGTGTAATTCTTGTTCTAAAATATTAAGATATGATAAATTTTCTAAAAGTTGTTCTTCTTGTTCCTTTTAACGAGAAAAATACCATTAGGAATATTTTTTTGTTTAGAATTAATAAATAAAATAACATATATATATAATATTATCATTAATCAAAAAAACCCTCACTTTTGAATCATTTGTGTCATTTATACCCTTTTCACTTTTACTTTTTTCATCTTTGCTTTTTCTTTTTCTTCTCCTTCTAAGACCTATCCTTTCTTCTGTAGCGTTTCTACCAGATAAATCAGAATCAGAATCTGAATCTTTTTCACTAGAGGAATCCTTTGAATTGTTTCTGTTGCCTCCAGCTATGGAATAAACTGGAATTGGCTCGTTTAAAATTTCATTATAAACTGTATAAGCTACAAAGCCAACAACTGCAACGCTAACTACTATAGACGCAACAAAATAAGGATGCATACTTTTTTACTTTATAAAAAAGCTTTATTAAAAAATAAGAGCTATTTTATTTTTATTATATACATAATTACTATTTACTATTTAGATTGAGGGATCTTATAATAATCCCCCCAAAAATTCTATAACTCCTCATTTAGATAAATTTTTTTCCAATTGAAACAATAAATCAATCATGATCGACTTTACAGTTATATCTGGCGCGAAAAACGAAGATGCTCTATGTTATTTATTAGAAATAGATAATGAAGTGAAAATACTACTTGACTGTGGTTGGAGCGATGAATTTAATTTAGAAGATTTGAAGCATTTGAGAAGGTGTATAACTTTTTCCAACAAAAATATACCGGCTGGCTCTGAATGGCAAACAAACCATTGGCGATGAGCAGTAATTATTTATAATGATTAGGCAAGACTTTGTTTACAAAAAGGTTGAAATTTATTAATGCTGTTCATTTGTTCATGCTTATGCTACATTAAAAATTTTTATAAATAAGAGTTGCTAGACAAGTTGATGCCTTGCTGCTTTCTCATCCTGATCTGCCTCATCTAGGTGCCTATCCATATGCATTTGGCTACTTTGGTCTTCATTGTCCCGTTTATGCAACGGTTCCTGTCGTTAATATGGGTAGAATGTGCATGCATGATATTTATCAATCAAAAGTTAACGAAACAGAGTTTGATACTTTTGCATTGGATAATATTGATTCAGCTTTTGAGAGAATTAATGTTTTAAAATATTCTCAACCAATGATTTTAGGAGGCAAGTAAACAATCAAATTCCCATTTTTTAAATTGATACAACTCGTTACCATTTCATAACATTTGATTACATTTGACAGGCAAATGTAAGGGTATAACAATTACTGCCTATTCTGCTGGACATACTATTGGCGGAACAATCTGGAAGATTAAAAAAGATACTGAAGAGATTGTGTATGCAGTTGACTATAATCACAAGAAAGAAAGGTTGTTAAATAATATATATATATATACATACTAGAATAATATCATTATAATTTTTATTGAAAGATATAAAAAATATCTCATAAAATATAGACATCTAGATGGAACTGTTTTGCATAGCAATGGTGTTGTTTTAGACGCATTAAGTCGTCCTTCTTTAATGATAACCGATGCTTACAATTCACTTATAATCCATCCACCAAGGAAATCGCGTGATACTGCATTATTTGGTACTGAGGATTTTCTTTTTTTTTTTAACAAAACCAATTAATATTATTAAAACTTTTTTATTAATACAATAAATAAATAATAATTTATATTTAAGAAACAATAATGAGCACATTACAAAATAAAGGATCAGTATTATTACCAACTGATTCATCAGCACGCGTATTGGAGTTGGCTTATCTTTTAGATCAACATTGGGCTTTTCATCAGTTGTCATATCCACTTATCTTGTTAACTCATCAAAGTTACCGTACAATCCAGTACACTAAAAGTATGCTAGAATGGATGGGTGATGCTATCAAAAGACATTTTGACACAAAAAGAGAAAACCCTTTTGAATTTAGGTATTAACTTGGCTTATTTATATAAAAAAATTACATAATGGAAATTATAAAAAAGCTTCTTTTTTTTTTTTAAAAACAATTCATGTAGGTATCTAAAATTATGTCATAGATATAAAGATCTTGCAAAATATCCGGGACCAAAAGTGGTACTTGCAAGTAATGTTAGTTTAGAAACAGGGTTTTCCCGTGAATTTTTATTCGAAATATCAAAATCAGATATAAATGCTCTTATTCTGACTGATCGTGGACCACCAAATTCTTTGGCAAGAAAGTTATATCATGAATGGGATCGTAAAAGTCAAACAAGTCAAGGAGTTGTCAAACCAGCAGCTGCTTTGGATTTAACTATTAACCTGATGGTAAATTTAATTTATTATTTATTGTCCAATGGACTGTTTTAAAATTTTTGTATAATGTATCGTTTATATAATTTATTAAATAATCACACATGAAAACATATATATCTATTTATTTATTATTAAGATTAATAAAAAAGTTCCTTTAGAAGGTGCTGAGCTTTTAGAATATAAAGCAGAACAACGCAAGAAGCAGGAAAGAGAGGCAGCACAGGCAGCGCTTATAGCCAAATCTTTGTCAATAATTGAAGAAGATGAGACAGATGATGAAGAGTCGGAAGCAGGAGATACTGACATGGAGGAATTATTAGCAAAACAATTTGACCTTTATGTGCGCGATGCAACAAAATATGGAGGTTTTTTTAAACAAACACAAAGTTATTTGATGTATCCATTTGTTGAAAAAAGGAAAAGATATGATGACTATGGTGAGATTATTCCATCTGATATGTTTAAAAGAGTTGGTGGATCAATTGGTACCGAGGGAATTGGTATTGAGCCAATTGGTGATAGAGATGATATGGGTGGTGGGGATAAAGAGGAGGTAGTAATATATGTTATATATATATATATATTTTTTTTTAGTCTCACAAAAGCAATTTTAAACTTTAATTAATATTATATAATTATCTATTGTCGTGCAAGTTTGATAAGGACAATAATAATTCTTCTTTGGATTCCAATGTTCCAACCAAATATGTATTGTATGATGAGGATGTTACTTTCAAATGTCAAATACGATTTATAGATTTGGAGGGAACTAATGATGGAAGGTCATTGAAAACCATAGTACCACAAGTACAACCTAGAAAATTGGTAACAAATATATTTTGTTTAATTCCTTGTTCTATTTTACATAAATAGTTATGATTACTAGTATAATAAATTTATATGTATACATACATACATTTATAGATTGTTGTACATGCATCACAAGAAGCCACGAAAGATTTTGCTCAAAGCTGTTTAGCTCTGGAATCAATGACCAAAGACATTTATACTCCAGATGTTGGAGAAACTTTGAATGTTTCGGCTGCAATAAATTTTTATCAAGTCAAATTGACTGATTCATTAATCAGTTCATTGAATTTTTCAAAGGTAAAATAAATCCATATATAATTAGTTATAAAATTTTTCCCGGTAAACTTTTAATAAAATATTAATATTATTTATATTATTCATTAGCTTGAGGATTATGATATAGCATTCATAACAGGAAAAATTTCATTTCCACAAGACTATTCCCTCCCTATATTAGATGCTATACCAATAGAAGAAAACACTAGTAATAATAATCCCATATTTGTAGGTGAGGTGAAATTATCAGAATTAAAACGTTTATTACAATCTGAAGGTATCACAGCAGAATTTAAAGGTGAAGGTGTGTTAGTTTGTAATGAAAAAGTTGCCATTAAAAAGGTCAGAATTAATAATTATCTATGTAAATAGATAATGGTTTCTTTTTTTTTTAAAAAAAATCCCTTTATTAAGTGCTCAATTTTTTTTATGTTGAATTGATTATATAGACTTCAAAGGGTCAATTAATTCTTGAAGGTTCATTATCAGAAGATTATTATAAAATTAGAACCATAATATATGCACAACATGCTTTATTATAAAAACATATATTTTACGCTGATACAAAATTTTGAATATAAAATATACTCTCAATCAAACGGCAAGGAAGATCCACGACCTACATCTATACCAGATGAATACATTGATATCATAATAAAATACCAGAATATCAAAAAAAATAAAAATAAAAAAAATAATTCAATATTTTGTTGAAATTCTACTTGTGAATTGGGTTATATGTAAAATCGTGTTTATGTACCTTTGTACAATATTACTTTTTTTCCCTTTAAAAAAAAACAGATATAGAAGTATGTAAATTATCATTTGCTTTTAATAATTTATTTTTCCAATGCTATTAAAATTATAAATTTAAATGTTCTGATGCTTATTATTAATATAATCCATTATACTTTTAAAATCATCTTTGGATATAATAACATTATCCTCAACAGTATTTATTTTGATTTTAGACCAATCCAAGCCATTTTTTTGATTGTTAGTTATAGCATTAGTCGAAGATTCACCAATCAAATCATCTTCAATCAATTTTTTATTATTGACATTTTTCTTATACTTCTTATATCTGTCTGGTTCAACTATGTTTAAATAATGTATCTTATAGCATAATTGATCATCTTTTTTTAAAAATCCATATTCATTATTTACATCTTTAAGTCTAATTTTATCAACAGTATAATCAGTTAACCTTCTGAACTCATTATCAGTGTTAGTACAGCCAGGTATAACACATGGACCACGATTTTTTGGAGGCATCTTTGATTTTAATGAGTTTGTTCAATTTGGTTTTAATATTAAGGAGAGTATTTGTAGATTTTCATTAGTAAATGTGGATTTTACCTAATTAATATCAAGTAAAATTTGACCCAAAAAACTCGACTATTACTATCGATTTGGATTGGTGTTGGAAATTTGTCCAATTGAACAAATACCCTTGGATGAGAAAGGATCTGTGTCGCATGGAGCTTATAACCACTATTTCTGTCACGTGATTTTCAAAGATCAGAAGATCGAACTTTTCAAAAAATGAATACTTGTGACGGAGAGATTTTTTCAAAAATATTGATTGATTGTTGAGTTCTGCTCCATTTTAGTGTGTACATGGATTTATTAGATTTCAGTATGCTTGGTATAAAGCACATTCGATGTTAGTTGCATCGATGAAGATGTAAATTGGATTTTAATAGATTCTTCAAAAAATCACAAAAATACATGTAATTAAAAGTGGCTATACTTTATTAATTAATTAACTAAAATTTTACAATAAAAATGAAAATTTTTACAGAAAATGGTATGTATATACCAGATGGTTGTTACGTTCTTATTAATAAAATTTCTCACCCGATAAAATCGCACGCAGAGTTAAAATTAATATTAAGCGTAAACACACACCTTTCCGCTGACACCATATTATCATGACAGATGAGAAAAGTCCTGCAGGCTCGGCTTTATGGATTTTTTCCATTTTCAATTTTTTTAATATTTAAATTGTTTTTTTTCCATTTCAATTACTTTCTCGCACCTTATTTCATGTATAAATATTTTGTGATAAGCTTGAACTCCATTTTCTTTAGGATCATGTGATTCAAAAACAAACATTAATTTTGTGATCGTCATCATGTGATAGATAGGTATATACATCTTTTTTTTTTTTAAATCATGCGAAATAGAGAATTTCAGGTTGGATTAACCGACCATTCTAAGAAGATTGAAATTGATTTGTCAAAGGAAATTTTGAATTTTCATAAAAGAGAACGAAATGGTACATAATTATCAGAAAAAGATTGATGAACTTTTGAAAAAAGCCCGTTCACAAGGTATATTAAATAGTTTTAAAATAATTTATAAACGAGATTTAGATTTGGTGCTTTAAAAGTTTGATTTAGATAAATTGTTGTTAAAACAAATAGATTCAAGCAATATTGTTAAAACAAGTATTGCTACTGGTAAATTGTCACCAGAAAAATCACAACAACTGTTAGAAGATGCGTGGTCCAGTAATTCAAAAGTTGGTGTTGGTAAGAAAAGGTATTTTAATAACACTTCTGAGGGAATTAGAAATAATAATAAAAATATTTCTAACATCTGAACATATTTATTTATCAGGAAACGGATATAATTTAGTTGTCAATTCAAGAAAAAGAAAGAGTACAAAAATCAGCAAAATACATAAAATTTTAAAACCATCACGTATTGTAAGTGGGATTTTATTATAATTTATTGATTTGAACGATCTAAATTGACCTAAATAAAAATATATTATAAACACGTAGAATAAAAAAAGAATACTATTTCCCAAAGGAAGCAATACATCACCTAAATCACCAGAATATTATTCGTCTTCTTCAGATTCAAGTTCGGACTCTAGTCCACTCAAAAAATTTAACATCACACCGATTACTCATTATTTTCCACATAAACCAGTGAACAACAATCAATCTCACTTTTATCAATATAATAATCACCGTGAATCTGATAATAATTATAATTATAACGACAATCACAGTGACCTTGATGTAAATGCGAGTAATAATAGCATTAGTACGAGAGCTTTAAATACTAGAAAAAAATTGAGGAGTCGAGAATTCACACCTGAAAAAATTTCAAGGAACCAAGAAGAAACACCTACAAATGCAAATATACTAGAAAATTATTTTCATTCTGAAGGTAAACATCAAAAGGCGAATAGATCAATTAGAACCTTCACTGAAGATAATATAGATGATGCTTCTCCAGATACTAAAAGTATTTTAACATTAGCGAAAAATTGCAATTCGGATGATGGATTTAATTTACTATTACAAAATTATCAAATGGAAAATGTAAGTTTTTGATTTTTAAAAAAATTTATTTATTTTTTTAATGATTTAATTTCTAATAATAATAAATAATAATAACAATTATTTATTACTATTTTATTTTGCAGCCATTTCTTTAAATTTTTTATTTTTCCAACAGATAAAAATTCTTTTATTTAAAATCAATTTTCTCATTAAATGTTAAGAAGAATTTTGATTTTTATAAATGCACACAAATAAAATGCTATTTCAGTCATTATTAATTTAACCATAAAGATGATAAATCACTGGTTGATTTATTTAATATGTTCTGTTGATCACTTGACCCTGGCTTCTAAGACTCAAACTTTAGAAGATTTAAAAATAATCCAACTGGTCTTAGAACTAACATGCAAATAGTCATAAACATGAACTTGCCACGATTGCTGTTAAATCAGATTGCAGTGAGTCTGGCCACATGAACATTTAGAAAAATGTAAACTTTGATGATTATCATGATTGCCCATTCAATAAAGGAAACATCCACATCCACTGATTCAATAATAAATCATATGGCAACTATAATAAATACAGAAAATGTCTTAGCAATAAATACTAATAATTTTAGTATACGTCAAATTGGAGTATTGGGATCCTAATAGGATTATTTCAGAGCTTGGAAAGCAAATGGAAGTTACCTAAATTCATCCAATTCTTTGGCAAAGCATACATCATAAAAGGTTCAAAAACACAAATTTGATTGAAAACAGTGATAATCATTTAAAAGGTAAAATTCAAAACCAAATATAATATTAGCTCCAATGGATCTCCTTGGGCAATAAAATTAATTGTTAATGACAATAATATTAAAATAAAAATATCGCCAACGTTAACATGTGAGCTTGAATAAACATGTTTACAAAAATATTTAATAATTTATACAAATTTGTTTGAAAAATATCCAATTTTAAATTATTTAATTGATCTGAATGAAATATTAATATGCGGCCACTCCTATCATATTAGTTGCCTAGATATTTATTGTAAAAATTATTATCCAATTAAGAAAAATGAATTAGCCAGTTCTTATAATGAAAGATTATTGAGGTTTCGTAAAAAAATAACACGATTTAAATGCGAAACAGATTAAAACAAGGATGAGGTACTTTCATAGGCGTGTAAATGGCTTGCAGTTTATAAAATCGGGGGAAAAATAATTGTATTTTCTCTTGCTCAAATCTTTTCCTCTCTCTACTTTGGATATCATTAGATTGGCTTTTTGCAGTTTAATCTCGCATGGTCATAATATTGTTACTAATTGAAATTTTCATTGTATATAATTAACAAATACATTCTCCGGTTAAATATTTGCACCATGGACGTTTTAAAAGGCTCCGCTAATTTTTCGTACAAATAGTGAATAAAGCAATAAAATTACTACTCATGGTACCAATACGCTCACAACCTCATTGGCTCCTTCTATTTTCGATTAAATATTCTATATAAACGGCTTTTTCCAAAAATAAATGTTTCAAACAACTACATTGGATAAAAATCTAAAGAATAACGATGTAATAATAATAAATAAATTAGAATTGTTATAATGTATATAATTATTTTGGGTATTCCGAGTTTGATGGTTTATTTTAATAAAGCAGGATTATGTGGATGCATTAATAGGATTGAATATGGGTTTATGACCTTTTAATTTATTAGATCCTTATTTTAATTTAATAATCATTAGAATATTTCTTCGGTCATATAAAAAAAACATCTTTTCTAAACGACCAAAGCTTTGCAATGCTTTCCTATTCATTGTAATTTTTTATTTCCCGTGCAGAATTGCAGACTCAGGAAAATAAAATTTTCAAGGAAACCATGATGATAAAACCATAACGGTTATAGATCTTTAGACTTTCTACAGTGGCAGGCATTTATTATTATCAGATAAAATAATTGATATAATTTAATGTAATTTATTTATAAATAATTAAACATATATGAAAATAAGAAATAAAAATAATAAAAATAATAAAAAATAATAAATTAATACAAGCCCAAATAGAAATCACTTTGTATATTTTTTATTGCCAATAATTTTTTTAATCCGCAATTTTTTATCCATTCAGTTTTTATTATTATTGTTTAACAGTTTATGGAGTAGGAATATGATGTAATTTAATTGTTGATCTCTGTTGTGATGTTGATCAACGAAATTATTTTGATTTTGATAAACAAAAGAATTATTCGGATGATTAATTCTCATCATCATAGCATTAGTCGCATTAAATGAATTCTGGTCAGCGAGGTTATTGATTATACCTGTTGGAATAGCAGTGTCCTGGTCAGCAAGCCCATTGTTATTGTTAATAATGCTAGTTGAGCCATCAAAAGTGTTATCTTTAACGAAATCATTGTTACTGGCAATATCAGTTGAGGTAAGAGGGTTTTGGTCAACGAAATTATTTTGATTAACGAAGTTATCATCTCCAGAATTTTCATTAACGAAATTGTCATGAACTAAGTTAAAATGAAAGTGATTGTTGTCGCCACCGTTTTGATAAGCGAAGATGTTATGGTCTCCAGGAGTTTGAAAGATGGAGTTACTATGAAATAAGTTTTGTTGAACGTTTTGATAATCGAAATCATTGTCTCCATGGGTTTGAGGAGCGTGGAATGAACTTGTTTGTCCGTCAAAAAAAAGAGGAGAATTTAGATTAACAAGATTTTGATTATTATTATTTCCATACATTCCTAATATATAATCTAATGTATTTATCAAATTGGTTTTATTTATAAATGTTTTTATTATAATAATTATTTGTTTTAGTTAATTTTTTAAAAAAAAATTTTTTTTTGATTCAAACTTTTAAAAAATCGATTAAAAAAAATCGATATATAATTTTAAATGTTTATAAAAAAAAAATTTCGATATTTATATGTTTATAAAATCTAATGTATTTGTCAAATTGGTTTTGTTTTTATTATTATAATTATTTGTTTAGTTAATTTTTAAAAAAATTTTTTTTTTGATTCAAACTTTTCAAATTTTTAAAAAATCATTAAAAAATCAAAAAAGAAATCCATATTTATATAGTTTTTTTTTAAAAAAATTATTATCATTAGTTTTTTTTTTAAAAAAATTATTATCATTATAGTTTTTTTTTTAAAAAAATTATTATCATTATAATTTTTTTAAAAAAAATTTTTTTTTTATATAAACATATAAAACTGTTTAAAAAAAATATTCCGTACACAACCGTACAACAAATAATATGAAATACATTTGAAACTTTAAAAACAAAAAAAGTAATTTGATGGACTTTTAAAAAAAATATCATTCCAGATTATTTTTGACCGTTTTGTACAACCAAATAATATACTTTTCCTTATGGTTAAAATTCTGATGGTTTTAGGCAAATCAAAAAATATTACAACTTATGGAAAAACGGTGAGACAAAAATAAAGAACTTTCCACGTCACACCTATTAAAAAGATAGTGAGAAAAAGCGTTTTCCATATCAAAAAAAAAAACTGGACTTTAAAAGATTAAAATGGAAATTTCATTTGATTGTTTGACAGCAAGCCCATCATCACACGCTTTATCTTGAATTACACCCACTTTTTAATTTCAATCAATTGATTGTGCAAAAAACAATTATTCTGTTATCTTCTCATTCCTTTATCTTGCCGATTCCACCATACTCCAATTTCATATTTTATACAATTAATAATGATAATGATAATGTGTGTTAACAGATATAAACTCAAACTAAATAATTATTTTATATGACTTCCTTTTTGTTTTTATTGGACAAAAATTATGTTGATACTTTTCCCGATATCTCCTGATATAAAATTCTATGTACTTTTTGTTGTGTCCATCAATTCCATGTGCATGCTCTCGCAATACGAGTAGTAACTGAATTTATTTAAAAAATCAATCAAATATTAATATTACATACAATACAATTTAGTAAATTTAAATCCGTCACATTTAGTCAGACATGTTTGTTGATCTTGCTTGAGGTTCTTCATATATATATATATATATATACCTTATTATAAAAAATACAACCTCTAAAGTTCAATATAAAAAAAAACTTTTTTTAATAAGATTAATTACTATCATCAAGCAAGGTACAATGTTGATTCAGTTACTACAATCTAAAAGTTTCACCGCATATACACTCCCTGGACAAAAGTTTCGGTCACTACAAAACAAATAATTACGCAAAAACATACATAATAAAACACAAATAAATTTCATCGAATTGTGACTAAAGTTCTCAAGAATATGTGTGTAAAATTTCAAATTTTTGTAATGTTTGGGAGAATAACAGTTAAAAAAATAAAAAGTTTGACCAAAAATAATTTTTGGAAATGATCTCTAAAATTTTGATTTTATTTGCAAATATTTATACCACTTCTCAAAAAAAAAAAAATGCACATAATAACCACACCCGAAATTTTACTTATTTGTATGCAAGTCAACACTTTGTTGGCCGCCATTATTGGATATAACAGCTTCTATTCTTCTTGGCATACTTTCTATCAAATTCATATAAATATTTCTAGGAATTTGATTCCATTCTTCATGTAAAGCGGTCTCAAGTTCAACATTATTTTTAAATTTATTTGGACGTTTCCGAATACGAATTTCTAATTGATTCCACAGATGCTCTATTGGATTCAAATCAGGAGATTGACTTGGCCAATTTTTCAAAATTTTTTTACTTTTTTGTTTCAATCCAATTTTTGATGATTTTTGTATAAAAAACAAATGACGTAATTTTTCAGAATCTAATCTTTCATGTGTCACGATTTCAGGTGTGGTTATTATGTAAGTTTCTGAGACACTGTTTTTTTTTTTTGGCAAACTACAGTTTTTCAGAAGATTTTTGGTCGAACTTTTTATTTTTTTAACTGTTATTCTCCCAAACATTACAAAAATTTGAAATTTTGCATACATAATCTTGCAAACTTTGGTCATAATTTGATGAAATTTATTTGTGTTTTATTATGTACGTTTTGCGTAATTAATTGTTTTGTAGTGACCGAAACTTTTGTCCAGGGAGTGTACCTATTGGAATATTTGTTTGATGGTTGTGAACACAGAATAGAAGATGAATGTAATGGTAATGTTTGTCGTTGTTGTGATGAATGTGGTTATTATTGAGAATGTGAATGTGACGATGGTACTAAAGTTCTCAAAACAGCTTTTTAAATTTTCTCTAGCATATAATTGCCTTTCTATTTTATTAAAATCAATAAACAAATAACAAATGATTTTCTCAGCAAATCAATTATTGAAAATGGTAGGCGATATTCGATGGATCAAGTTTTAAAAGAATAAAATCATCACGTTCCTCAATCCACGCTCTTTGGAATGTATCGTTGGTATGTGAACCCAGATGTCATGGGTACTAATCAAAAAAGAAAAAAGAAAAAAGAAATTGACAAAGTTCAATTTAACAGCAAAAGTCGTATTAGAAATTATCCTCAAACGCTGAAAATCATGATGTTTTGTAATGATAGTATTGGAGAAATAATTTAATTATTTTTCATCTCTTTATTAAATTAAATGTACTGTATAAAACAACCTTGCAATGTTTATTTTTATTACATTGAGATGGTTAGGTTGTTAACCAGATCTATGAAATCTATATATGAAATTGTTATCATCATCAAAATTAAAGAATCATTAGATTTTTTTTAAAAAAAAGATTTAACTAGTTTATTAATTTATTATCAAAAGTATGGATTAATAAATTGATTGTCATAAAAAAAAACAAATTTGCATTAAAATTTATTAAATTCAATGCACTAGAAGTTTGGGGTGTTGCGTCGTAACTTGGACTTGAGCTTGGATTTGAACTTAGACTTGAACTTGAACTTGAATCAGGAACTGTCTGAGTAGCAATGGGATTCTCGGTTGAATTTGATAGCGCAGATGGCTTGTATGGGTTAGGATATTGTTTAGTTGCATATCTAAAGATTATTATGATTATATTTAATATTATATTATTGACTTCAATTGATAATTTAAAATTTATTAAAAATTCATACCCTAAAGTTTCCAAAATGGACAAGGTTTGAGGACCAATTGCACCCGCATTAAGGTTTCCACCTATAGCAATGGAGTCATTAAGCGTTCTTCCAGATTCTTGAAGAAATGTCATCAAAAATTCAGATGTATTTGTATACGTTTTATAATCAACGTGGCTTATACTTGAAGCATGTTGAAAAGGTTTTAAAGAAGTTTCCAATATAACGCTATCCTTGACTGAACTCTTATCGTGTGGTAAAAATCCCAAAGTTTTTTCTTTGGTAACAACATCAAGCATTTTTTGGCCAATTTTAAATTGTGGAGTTGTTGAAAAGGCTTTAATAAATGCGTCGAGATTAGCAAAACTGGTTGTATCACCACTACCTGTGAATAATTGATTGATTTGCGCCGTGGTATTGGATAATAATTTGCCGTCAGATAAGAATACTATGTATTTATCAAATGCCATCTCTATGAAACCTTTGAATTTTATTGGTGATTTAGTATCAACTCCATCGGACGTATATTTTAGACCAACTATTTCAGGTGTGATTATCTTCGGTACCGGATGGATGTAATCATCTAGACTCGAAATAAATCCCAACCCGTGTAAAAGTTCATGCAAAACCAATTCTTGAAAACCAATTTGATCTTTACGGATTGGCGGGTCACCTTCAAACCAAAAAGGTGATTTTGAATTAAATTGAGCTACAATATCAGCCGATGAAAATTCTGGATGCGAATCAAATTGAAATTGTTTAACCAATGCTTGAGGATATAATCTTTCAATACCATCGTTGTCTTTTAACGGCATAAATCTAAAAGGACCTGCTGCGCCTACATATATATAAATAAATATAAAAAAGGCAGAGGTTAATATATTTTCTAGATCATTGTAGCCTGGAAGATTATCAAATACAGGTTACGTATATGTATGCCTACCAATTAAATCTGCAATTGGGCCATCAAAGATTGTAAAGGTAGCGTTTATTATAATTGGAGTGTTTAATGATAATGCAGAAGTGAGAATTACACCAGAATTTTCGAATGCGAATTTTGCTTTATCACACTGCTTATTATCGGGTAATTGGCACTCGAAATTAATTATAAAATTATTTTTAGAATTTATAATCTGAGAATCAAATTTGGAATTTCGTGTTGGTGATTTGACATAAGGGCATTCGACGGCTACTTTTATTTCGGGACGAAATAGATCAGGGTTTTCGTAACAAACACCGGAAACATTTATTATAAATTCAAATATAATGAAGGAAAAGAATAAAGAATTAAAGGATTTTTTCATGATTATTATTATTAATGTGTCTGATATGTGTGGTAGGGGAAGGATGAATCAACGAGAAAATGATGAATTTAACGAAAGGAAATGAATAATTAATGAAAAATTATTTGTTAAAGAAATTTATATTTTTACACCGTTTATATATATTTAGAAAAGCGCGAAATATATATATATATAAAAATAATACATTATGTTTCAATTAGGGTTTAACTAATAATATCGATAATATTTAATTTAATGGCTTTTGTTGTTCATTTTAGGATTTAAGTGAAAAAATTAAAAAAATATGCGATAATTTTATTAAATATTGCACCAATTTCCATAATAATCATCTTGAAATAAAAATTTATTTCATTTTTATTGTTATATTATTTTGTATTTTATGAGTACACATATACAATTTTAACTATTGTTAATAATTTTTACTTTATTCTGGTGCAAAAAACTATATTTTAATAATGTAATAATGATAATCTAGTAGTTTTCATTGGAAGGTTCAGATGCATTTGTAATTTATGTCATCAAATTAGGAGGTCTGATAACAGGTTGATCCTGAATTGTTGATAAAAGAAGGAGGCAACTATTGAAAAATATTTGTAATAGGATTTGACGACGAGTCACAAGACTTTTCACCAGTATTATTATTCCAAACAGTAATTTTTGGATCAAGTCCTTTGATTGCTTGAGCATTTTCTCTAGCTAAATCTTTATATGCACCATGTTTAATCATTAAATATTCCATTGTTAGATCACCGGTATCGCCAAATGCTTTCGTCAAATTCTTTATACCTTCAGCTTGAGCATTAAATAATGGCAGGACGCCTTCAGCTTCCTTTTTCTTCCTGTACAATTGAGCTTCAGCTTCTTGTTGTGCTGTGTAAAATTTTGATTCGGCTATAGATTTTGAAGCTTCATATTCAGCGGTAGCTTTTGACGCATATAGCACACGGAGCCTTTCAGTTTCTGATAATAATCTAAGTTCTTCAACCCCTTTTTGAAGTTCGTATTCCCAGATTTTAGCAGCTTGTGTGGCTTCAATTGCTGCTATTTTTGTATTTTTATCGTATTCAGATTTCTTTGTGGAAAGAGTAGCATTAGCTTCAGCAATTATTGCATTAGATTCATTTTCTACAAGAACTGTTTCTGCTTCAATTTTTGAAGTTAGTTGTCGCTTTTAAAAAAAACCATGATTTTTTTATTAGAAAAGAAATGCCAAAATTACAATTCATTAAATATGGTAAATATACTGACAGTCAAGCCCTCTCGCTCTTTAACACCAACATCTCCACGATATTTTGCTTCTGATACGTCAACTGTTGCTTGTTGAACAGCTCCTTCGTGTGTTTTCATTCGATATGGGTACAACACATAAATATACCGTAAATATAATCCTTTGAGAAAAAAGTTTCAAATCTATTTGATTAAATTAGGATTACCAAATATGCAAAATATTCAGATCCTTGAATATCTTGTAATTGTTTTATATTGGAATTATAAACAAACAAACCAAATTGATCCAATTCAGCTTGTACATTTTTAATAACCTTTTCTTTAAAACGTCTTCTTTCCCTAAACATTTCTTCCATGGTCATACCAGCTGCTATAACACGCTAAGTTAATATAAAGAAAACATTCATCGGTTTAATTGGCTTGTTACTTATTTGATCATTTGCACCTTCAAATGTTTATTCCTCTAATTTCCTATTTCATTACTTACTGTTTCACCTTCAATAATACCTCTAACCAAATCCTTTACGTATTCAGAGTTTTTATTATCAGCAAATAACAATTTAGCATAATAATATAATGCCACAGGTTCATCCTTTGGGCCAATGGTAAACACAGCTGGTAAATTGAATTCCAATCTTTCAGCAGACATGGCTTGCAACTGCAATGTATAATTGACTGGAGTGATATCAAAGAATCTTGAATGTTGTCCGGGTAATACCCATCCTTTTTTTGTTATTTCTATATCTTTGATGAATGCGCCAGTTTTTATTAAATATTGATTTGGGTTACTGGAAAGAAAGAGTGTGTGTTCTGCGTATGTAAAAACAGTGATAACTTGTATTTAAATAATAATTTATATTTATATAGATATTTATTATTTACCTAATTTTATACATTTTTTAATAAAATTTACATTTGAATGATTTATAATAAAAGTTTTCAATTCTTAGTTAACAAACTAATTACATATATGTAAAGAGATTATCGTGAAATATTAGATTAGTATTAATTTAGTTAACTTAATTTGGAGGAAAATTTTCCAAAGGTTCACTAAGAAAAATATAAATTAAATTATTATTATTATTATTATTATTATTATTATTATTATTATCATTATCATTATTATAATGTAATGAAATTTAAAATAAATAAATAAGTTTACTTACTCTCTTAATTCCCAAACATCTAAAGAATTTTTTTGTTTGTCGTATTGTTCTTTTCTCATCTTTTCTCTTTCTACTATCATTTTCTAAATAAAAATGGTTTTATTTAGATTTTAGATCTCCTTCTTCCCCTCCTTTTTCAATTACCTTTCTAATTTCCAATGACTTTGTCTTTAGTTTTATACACCATTTAAGATTTTCATATTTCATGCTACAATCTTTTCTCTTGCCATGTCTATAATAATTTTTTGTTTGACCTGAAATGGCTGTTGTAATATATTACAATATATATAAATATATGTTAAATATATGTATAATTTTTATCCCCCTCTTCACTTACAATTACACATAATGAATGCATCAAATTCTTGAATAAAATTGCAATTATATTTATTTTCATCATCTTCCATGATAGTATATAGTAAAAAATTTATAACGATTAAAAAATTACATCTTTAGATAATCTAAATTCGTGTAACTATAAATACCATGAATCTATTGTATTTTGTAATTGAGACATCTTCTTGCAGTTGACTATCCATATTCCCCAATGGAAAGTAAACCGCAAAATTTCATAATATCCAGTTTTTCGTTAAATTTCTTAATTAGACATAATAATGTGCCGTTGGATTAAAGCATTTTTTTTGGACAACAATTTTATTCCTTTCAGCTGTATTGTTCTTCGGGGTAGATTTTTAAGTCTTCTCTTTAGCCAATTGATAAAATTTTTATGTAAAGTTTGGCTTGAAATTTTCCACATAAAACTTACATTATCAATGTAATATTGCATAATATCACAGTATTGTAATAATTGTGTAAACCTTAGACAGGGCCTAACATAATTATTACATGCCTGAAAACTTTCTGATGACCATTCATTCCTTAAAAATTATATTATTAAACCTAACATATCAAGATTAGGTCTAATAGTATTATCCATCTATCCTTTTATATTTCTATCCAACAAAACCACACTCTGTAATCCCTAAGACAGCTTCTAAACTTTTGTTGAATTTATAGTTCTATCATAAAAAAAGAACCCAAACACGATCAATTCCTAAAATTCACAACACGGTCTAGACATTGTGGATTTTTAGCAACATCATCTTCTTTGACCTTATTTTTTAAATAGGGAAGCTTGGAATTATTCTTAATAATCACATATTTTCATGAAACACAAACTAGACTTCAACAAACACTTGGAATGCTAAAGTACCAGCACCAATGATTTCTTGTCCTTGACAAGAAATCTTGGACAAGCCTTCATTTTTTCCAATAATGACTTTCTCTTTATCAATTACTTGTTTTCTTAACTTGCTTACCTACTACCTCTGTATCATTAGGAACGGGATTAGGAGTTTGAGCCTTACTAATTAATTCATTAATTCATTGATGCTTGGAATAAAACAACAAATCACACTTATTGGTGGTGTTCTAATTTTATATGACAAGCTACTATATAAAGTAATCCTGGGTATATACTCGTAAATTTTCATTCCACGGTACAGTGCCAATTATGCAAGTAGCCAATCACCTAGAAGAGGAGACTGGCTTGATTACTGTGATAGAGGAAGGAAGGATTGAACCGATGAAAAGAAGTGATTTTAGGATTCTTTTTGTTTTTTATCTGGATTAATTAATTTTTAATTTTTGTATTAAGCACAATTTAATATCTTGGTTATTATTATACAAACCTACATTTGGCGAAAAGAGATGGTGATAATTTCGAAAAAAAAAAAAAAGAACTCAAAATAATGCCGTCAGAAATGATTACTTTGGAAATATGCCGAGGAAAGTATAGTAAAAGGTGGTGTCTCAACTTCATCAAGAAAAGTTATCCAGACAAATTCTTGATATATTATCTTTTGGAAGATCATCTTCAATTAATCATATATTCATAAAACGTCGGTTTATTGCTTTAGTTATGATAACATTTTTTATCAATTTGTTGTTGTTTTTATTACTTTAGCAATAAGGTTCTTTTTGAAGATAAAAATAAAAGATTGGAAACTACATAGATAGGTTACCCCTCAAATTTTACTAATGAGTTTACCCAAAAATAGGCAGGGACATTAAAACTTTTTTTGCACCATATTAATTAAATTTCTCTTCTTGCAAAAAGTTGTAAATATCCAAAGAATTTCCTGACATTGATGGAATCCTGGAAAAAGTTAACCATGATCATTAAATTTAAATCAATGCTAAAATAATATATTACTTGAGATGATTTGATAATGTGCAAACAAATTTTCACCTAATTCACATTTTTGTGAAAATAATCCTTCCATGATGATTTTAATAAGTGCAATTACAGAAATATAAGATAAACTGCCAATAAAAGAGCTGGATTAGATACACAAGCATGTCTATTTCCAACTGATTTGGAATAACTTTTCCAATTGCTAATTGTCCATCAATAATAAATAACAAATATTCATTTTCTACTAATGAAATGAATGCTCTTGGTCTGTTTATTTCAACACTATCATTTTGCACCATTTATATAATAATTACATTTACTGAATTCATATCAACATATTCTTATAATTCACATTGTTTCATCATATCTAATTCTATTGGATCAGTTAAAATTATATTAAAGGTTCATAAATTTCCGTTTTTGAAATGACATTTATCTCTTCAGAAATAATATTCTCTTTATTGGTACACTAATTGTGCAATTTTTTACTACCTTGCTGCTTCATCTGTCCAAGAAAATGTAAATTGGTTATGTCACTATTTTGATCTAGTTCATTATTATATAGTGCTGGTAAAATGTTTGGAATTTCATTCTCTAATAACCTCATTTCTAAAACCGATGCCTGTTCTTATCGCTCATAAATTTTCTTCATTACTTGGCCAATATCAACACTCTGTTTGAAACTCAAAATCATGAATATGACCTGTAATAAATAATTATTTTATCTCTAAGAAATTTTTGTTGAATTTGTAAAATTCACAATATATAGATTCTGTTCCATGCTCCAAAGGATAAAGAGGATACATTATTATTTACAATTGATAAAAAAATATTTTATTTTATCAGTACTGACAAAAAAAACCATTTATTTTACCCAAAATATTCTCTAACTGATTTATCCGAGCTTCAGGTAACCTGTCTATGTAGTTTCCGAGGTTCTATTAAGGTGTCAATAAAAAACAAAAACAAAATGATTTATTTGGAGTCAATTAAAATTTCTTTATATTTTACTTCTTGACATCATTTGCAACAATAGCCAAAATCACGACCACACTATTTTTTAACCAGGGAAATCAAAGATTTTCTGTAGCAACAACCTCTGTGAATAAAGGCCATCTGAAAGGAAAATACATGGTTGACTTGGATTTTTTAACCAGAACAACATGGAGACACCTGCATAGGCGTAGAAAAGATTGTTCTATATAAATCTGACACTTGTGTTCAAATGATTTTTAAGGAACCCTGCAGCTTACAATAATTTTATTTTCTCTTACTCAAATCTTTCTATCTTGGATATTATTAAATTGGTTCCTTAAGTTTCATTTTTGCATGGTCTTAAATATTATCATTACTTGGGCAATGGAGTTTGTTTAGTAATCCTTTGCGAATTTAAGATGTCAAGTTATTTATAACATAACATCATCATCACAAACATCATATTGGACAAGGAAAGGATCAAACAATAAATAAAAGAGAAATTGATTTATTTTGATTCAACCAATATATGGAAAGACATACAATAATTTATATATAAAAAAAAATTACCAGATCAATTGCATCACACAATTTATCTCTGAACCCTGAAATTATTTTGTGGCACTATGTCCAGTTTTGTTGCATAAGGCATATGTGTAATACGTACAATTATTTTATCTCTAATCAGGTCAACAAATAAGATGGTCCGAAATCGATTTTTTACTTTTTTTAATTTCGGATTCTCGATTTTTCTTATATGAATGAACACAAATAACCATGCTGTTTTGTTTAGAACTCAAATAATCTATTACTATATTAATAATAATAATGAGAGGGCCGACCATCTTTAGTCAACAAGTAAATCAGTAATATTAGCAAACTTAAATGATGTCGATAAATTAATTAATTAATTAATTTAAATAAAAAGAAAGTTTACTATTACTTACTACCAATCAACTACCAATCAACTTTGGTATTTTCAATAGTTTATATTTGTGTAATTGGGTTAAAAATTTAATTACAGATTATGAACTTCTGACGTTTTAGTCGTTGTATTAGTCACTGGAACAGGCAAGAATTTTATCAACATTTTAACTGCCGCTACACCAATCTCATTTAATATAATCACCGCAACAACATAGGTTTACTTGTTTACATGCTTTATCTATTATCTGTCTGCTGTACATCTAATGCCAATCGATCTTTGTTGAAATGTTAAACAACTCTCGCAAACACCAGCAAATATCAGAATCAAATCCAATTTTACCAAATGACCCATATCATCAAAATCACCCATCTAAATATCAAACTTTCATATACACTCACCTCCCAGAAGTCATTGACCACCCCAAAAAAAAATTTTATTATTCATATTTTGTATAGCCACCATTAC